TGCAAATACTTGGTTAGCTGGATACACTGCATGAAAACCCAGTGCTGGCACCTTCATTAGCTGTAATGAGTGTGCTAGAATCACTGCTAGCCATGCACTTAATGTTGTCAGTCATTAAAGCAGCATTCAGAGGACTCATCTGTATATATGCTATGCCCTATGATGTGCAACAGCTGAACTATTTTCCATACATCGCCTTTGTTTTCACATTTAAAATCTTGTGTGCGCAATAAAAGTACTCACAACAGAACCCTGCGTAGATTTCTATTGTGCCAGACGGTACTTCTCTGTAAACTATGTGAGGGTCATTCCGAGTGACAAGGACCCAAAAAGCTGAGTACTCCTGCTCTTTTCTTACCCTTTGGACCTGCTACTTTCACCCATGCAAACTGCAACACAGGTCTGGGAACGGGAGGAAGAAGAGCAGCCTGGTTGCAGCTGGGAAAGCTGAGTCTGTCTGCCCCGGGTCTTTCCACCCATGTGCTATGCGGGTCTTGGCATTCAGACCTCGACACCAACAGTCATGATTGCAGCTCCTAATCTTGTTTTGATGAGCTGGTAATGCCGATACCCTCAGGTACTGAAGGGGGAAGCAGATGCAGGTGGTTTTTATCTCTGTAAAAGCAGCACTGAGTGCCAGCATCTCAAGTTAAGCATCCAAGAAACCTGGCAACACCTGCTGTGGGGGCTCTAACCTCAGTCTGACAGTATGGGGGCGGTGTGGGAAAATAAGAGTTATAGCTGCTGAGCCCCTTCCAGCCATCCTCTACAACAGGCTTGTTTGCTGAGCTGGGGATTACCCCTGTTGCATAGTAAATGGGGTGGATTATTTATATTAAACAGGAAACCTAAGTAAGATCATGAACTCTCAAGGAGAAGAAAACAGGGGCAGCTTTGCAGCGCCTGTGACCGTCAGCGAGTGCGGCAGGCAATCGTCACTGACGGATCCTAAATGGCCGTGCTGGTAGAAGATGCCATCCCTTTCTGGCACCAGAGCTCGTCTGCCTCCTGCCTAAAGCACACCGTTTCTCAGGAACGGAAATGTAGCAAAACCCACTTCGCAGAACCACTGCCATTTCCCTGCACTGCAGCAGGAGGCACATCCTCTGCTTCCCTGCTTGGGGACAGAGCCAGGAAAAGCTTGGCCACTGTACACAGCCCAGAATACCACCGCTGTGCTCCCTGCTCGGGATTTCCCAGCACCCCCTGACCCCCGGGGCCTGACCCTACGGGGCGAGCAGCATGCCGTCCGTGGACAAGCGTGTCTCTCCAGCGATGCCCCCCCCCGGGGCCTGCCCCTACGGGGCGAGCAGCATCCCGTCCGTGGCCAAGGCTGTCTCTGCAGTGCTGCCCAGCACCCCTGCTAGGAAATACCTCTCCCCATGCAGCAGAAATTACACCGAAGAGCATTCGCTCCTTTCGGGGCATTAAACAAAACAAACCATGGGACAGGAAAAAGAAATAAACCGAGCACACATCCTCTTCCCCCGGGGTGGGGGTGAGTGTTGGCAACGGCGCCATGACTTCACGATTAAACCGCACATTTTTCACAGCAATGCCATTTCAAGGCCAAAAAAACCAGGCTTCTGGGGCTTTTTTGTTTTGGTCTCTAGAGACCCCTGAGGTGTAGTACAGATATGTATGACCCTATTAGAATCAGAGATTCACAGAACGGTTTGGGTGGGAAGGGACCTTACAGACCATCCAGTTCCAACCCCCCTGCCATGGGCAGGGACACCTTCCACTAGACCAGGTTGCTCAAAGCCTCATCCAGCCTGGCCTTGAGCACTTCCAGGGATGGGGCATCCACAGCTTCTCTGGGCAATTGTTTTGTCTGTGCAGGACGAGGCCAGGGACTATCCTGTGCTGCTCGGCACCAGACAAAATGGGCCCATTGAACCCCAAAACTGGACCATCCAGATGAGTTTATGGTGCCTCTGTGGGAACACGTTTAAGAAAGGGCAGCGAAGGCTGAAAAAGGAGAGACAAGACCAGGGCAGGTACAGCACCCAAAGTGGCGGTGACCGGTGGAAGAGCCCATGCTGGAGCAGGTGAGTAGGACACGAGAGCAAGAGCAAAGGAACCCCCCTGCACCAACCCCCAGCTCCTGCACTGCCCATGGTCTCCCCAAAGGGCCTGGGTGTATTCTGCAGCACAGGAGTGGGGAAGGCGGGGAGGGAAGAGAGGTGTCTAAGTGTTGGCTGGTTTGTTACTTGGCAATAAATTAATCTGACTGGAATTTCCCCACTCCAAACGGGCATTCTGTGGCCCGCGGCAGGATGCCTGGCAACGTACTGAGGGACTGAGCCCCTTCGCACCACAGCGACCCAGATGAGACCGGGAAGGGCAGAGATGTCCCCTTGCACAGCTGGGGTTTGCTTGGGAACTGCGGCAAACAAAAACCGAAGCGGGGGGGATAGGAAGGGTGAAAAAGGAAGATGAAGAGTAAAAGGCTAAGAAAGCGAAGGGGGAAGATGCATCCTTGAGAAACGTGCATCGCTACCAGAGCTCAGGCCAGGGCCCCAGGCTCACCAGCGCGCTCCAGCTTCTCCCTCTGAGAAGCGTCCGCAGCAAGTCAGCGTGCACCGGGATCCTCGGGGAGAACGACACCTGCAGAGAGGAGGGATGTGGCAACACGTTCACATCCGGAAGGAAAACCAGTTCTACCTCCTCCCTCCAGACCTGCCCAAGCCCCTTTCCCTTTGGCTAGAATCAGTGCTGCTCTTTTCAGAGCTCGCTCCCTCCCAGAGCACCCGTGACAAGCACAAGATGCGCATTCTGCTCTCGGCCAAAAACTCGGTGCTCTCCCTGCTGAGCTCCTCCCAAAGCCTGGGAACTTCCAACTCCTATGGGGGCTCTCCTGAAATCTGGGACATTTCTCTGAGGATGCTGGGATGAGAAGGCAGAAGGCTGTGAAGCTTTCTATCAGCCCACTCGTTTGCTCTGGTGAAGGAGGGAAGGGAGGGGGTGAAGTCCTTGGTGGCATCCCTCGGAGGCAGTGGGACACAACCCCACCAAGACCAATCTTTGTGAGGCTGTAACCACCACTTTCCTTCTGCCCCGGGGTATTGGGCTGGTTTTGCTCGCTGTGCTGCACATTTCTCCCTCGCTCCCATTCCTTCCCTCTGCTAAACCATCCCAAACAATATGAGGTTTTGTCTGCACTCGGCGTCCAGCAGTTCCTCAAGCCCCTTAACCCTCATTTCATCTGCATGCCCTCGGCTTAACATTCCTGCCAGGCGCCGCGTGGATAATCCAAGAATTATTTTTGCCTCTGGCTCCAAGTGTCTGTGACAATAATGGGCTCGTACACACCATCTCTGGCTCCGCACTGGCCCTTCTCCTCCCCTGATCTCTCACTCCATCCCAGGCAGGTAGGGCTTTGGGATAGGACAGAGATCCCAGGAGGATTAGGGTAGCAAAATGCCAGCCTGGGTGTCCTGCACCCATCTATCCCCTGCGTTAAAATGACATGTCCTGCCAGGGCACTGCAGCCGTGGATGCTGTGCCCACACTGCCATCGCTGTCCCCACAACAGTGTCGTTTAGGGCTGGAGATGCCTCCCACCCGCCCGGTTCCGACGCTGGGAGCAGCCGTGGAGTGAACCCCTGGTAAACCAGAGGGCTGTGGGGAAAGCAGTGACCGTGGCACAAAAGCAGGACTGGGAGAGTT